TGAGTTTAATTTTAATATTAATTAGTGGATTTCTATTAGAACTTTCACTGGTAACAAAATAATCAATATTGGTACACGCACTACAATATATGATTCAGAAGTTATAAAATTTTGATGTATTTTTTTTGTATTTTATTTCAATTATAATAAACTATAAAATATATATATATTTATATTTTAATGTGGTTCGTTATAATTCGTTGTTAATAAGGAATTTTATTAATAGACTCATCTCTTTAATGTTTGGGAATTCGTTATGAATTCTTTAATTTAATCTTAATATTCAAATGATTGGTGTAGTATGTGAATTGGTAATAGTTACCATAAGTTGTTTCACTTTTATTTCGGTCATATGATTTAATAATATGTAAATATCATGTATGACGCAACAATATATATATTAAACCTAATCCGATATCAGTTGATTATAGTTTAATGCCAAATTAATCTCATCCTAACTTTAATTAAAATAAAAAATACATGACTAAACATGGGTTTAGACACCCTTAAAATAGTCAAATAGAGAACAATACTGATTTAAAACTTGATTATTTTGCTTTTATCGATTCTGTGAAGATTACCAAAAAGCATATATGACGTAGATAATTAAATATTTGTTTATACAGTTATAATAAATACTTGGTCAAATCAATTTGTTAAAAAAAAAAAGATTAAACGGAAGATAGCGATAATTGGCAGTGGCATAATTGGTTTAAGCACAGCCGTTACTTTGTCTCAAAGCATTCCTAATTTAAAGGTTTCAATCTATACCAATTCGAATTGTAGCAACACATTTTACAATGATGGTTATATTTACTGTAGTTCAAAGGCAGCTGCCTATTAGGACAGTCACGCTTCCACAGAAAATTTAGATTGACAGCTGACAGATCTTCAAATATACGAAATTCTTGAATATCAATTAAATGATATGAATAAACAAAAAGCAAATAGTGGTTTAAGATACAATACGATATACCAATACTATCGTGATAGATCAACTTATACAAAACCATGGTTTTCATCATATTCTAAATTTAAATTTAAAGAAATCGACAAGTTCGAACTACCAATCAGAATAGAATTTGGATTTAAATGACAAGGAATAGTAATAGAGCCTCAAAAATATCTTTTATACTTAATGGAGTTGACTATAGCGTTGAATATGGAAATAATATATAAAACAATTGAAGACTTAGCCTTGTTTGATTGTATTGTTATAAACTGTGTGGGCAACAACGCAGATATAACAATTAAGATAAATAGAAATTTTATTGATGCCATTGATCGAATTGAACCAATATGTGGTCAAACAATCACTCTAAAATACAATAGTAAATTAATTGAACCAATTAATTTCAGAGTGATTGAAACAGACTCTAGTATTCGAACATATTGTGTTGTTCATAGGAATGAGAAAAAATATATTATTGGTGGAACATATGAACCACTTTTAACAGGTAAGATAGATGAAAATAGTTATGAAGATATATTAAATTATTGTAAGCAAATGATTGGGTTTAATTTCTATGATATAATTTCACAAGATTATGGGTTTAGACCTTATTTGAAAAATAGTCCGAGAGTCGAGATAGATCAAAGATATCCAAATATTATTCATAATTATAGTTATGGAAGCTCGGGTTTTAGTAGTTGTTAGTGTTATGCAAATAAAGTTAAGGGTTGGTTAGTGAAATTCTAAACTATTATTTGGATAATAGCATATCTTTATTTTAACAATATAATTTGGTTAATTTCATTCTAATAAAATAATAAAACATTTCGAAATCTATCAAGTAAACCCAAGGAGAACATGTTTAAAAATTATTTTCAAACGAATCTGCTTAGTGAAGTCATGTTCTATATTTTTAATACATCAAAAGCTCTATAAATTTATCTCTGAGTTGTAAAATTTGGTATAGTATTTCCAAGGGTTCACAAGCGAGGGCCGAATAGATTATTTTTTAATATGGAAAACACACTGTTTATTTAATGCCGTAAGATTAGGGCCATTGTTTATCACTGAAGAAGTTGTACAAAGTATTATAACACAAGGCGAGATTATTTCAAGATACTTTATGCAGCACCTTCTTATTCATTATGAACAGTATGATAAGAAACTTATTAAATTAAAATTGAAACATACCGTCGAATCAACTGATATCAATAGGATCAAGGAATCATTTTAAAAACCAATTCCATGGGCCAGTGATTTACCGACCAATGTCTATATTTTTATTTTAGCAAGGGCCTCGAGTATATTTTTGAATAATCTTTGTTTAAAATGAAATAATATGGAATTGTTTCATTTTTTTACTGGTGGACCCAAACCTATTCATTACACAGCAATCACTATAGAAGAGAATATGAAAGATATTACAAATCTAATTTTACATATGAAATTCATACCGTTTCCACCACACAATTCCAATATACAAGTAACCGGTCTCGAAGAATACCAATTCAAAGATGGGTGAGAGAATAACTGACAACTAAATATAATTGCTTGTGCAATATTAATTGAGAAAAATTTAGTTAAATTATAGAAACAAATTGGATACTATGAGATTTGTAATGACATAAATGATTTAGTAATACAAGAAGCACTTTTAATTCTTTTTCCTCCAAATCAATGTTCTGATTGGCCTAAACCTGATGTCAAAATCATTGTAAACCGTCTTGTCAAACTAATTAACATGGGATTTAAACTAGAATATGATTTAATAGTCGATTTGTTTAAATTATTTGAATCGCGATTAGATAATATTGGTAATATTCTAATTGAATCTTTTGTGCAGATTAAACAAAAATCACAAGATCATGTTTTATGTAAATGTTTAGTAGGATTATTAAGTTTTTCTAGAAAGGATTATGTAACTATCACAAATTTTATTTACAAATTATTATCAGATTCCGAAGAAGTGGAATTTAACAAAGTGTTTAATACATATATAGAATCACCTGAATTTAAAAAGAATATTAAATAACATTATATATAATTAATTAAGATAAAATATTGTGGTTAGTCTATTACACAAGTAAATTATATAAGTCCTTTGTCATCATCATAACACATAAAAAAAATAAATATGAAGCAAAATTCTCATTCATTAACAAAAAACAAGAAATCATTAGATTGTTAAAAACAACTCCAAAGCATCAATATGAAATTCTATTCTATAAGATTATCATATAGTTAAACGAGCATTTAAATGAAATCGAAGAAATCCTGAATAAAATTAAATACAAACATTTATATATAGAAACAATCAACCAAATAAAGAAAAATGGTTATTTCGATTTAATTATAAAGCGTTTAAATAAACGTAAAGAGAATTTTATTTTGTATAGTATATACACCGATTCTTTACTGGTTGAGCGAGATATGATAAAAAATATTATTAATTATACATCCTTCATTAATACACGAATAATGCTTAACCTCTTTGTATATAAAACATTTTCTTCTGACGAACCAATTGCATTTTATAATTTTAAAAGATTAGTTGATACTCTATATCTAAACAAAAGCACTAGACATACAATACTATTGATTGAGTTGTACAACAGAGATATAATTGGTGGGTATAATTGTGCGATGTAGTTCAATTTAGAAGCGATACAACTGAAGAATAATTTTATATTTTTGATTTCTAATGAAGAAATTCACCTGGGGTTACCTAGAGAATTAACTAAAGATAATTATATAAATAATATTGGTTCACTCCTCAGGTTTGGTCAAGAAGATATAGTACTAGACATATATTCGAAAAAGGTTAATATAAATATCTGTAAGAGTATTAGACAGACTATAGAGCTATTTATCAAAGGAGAAATTATTTGATTAAGAAATTGGAATTGTTAACGATTCACTCAGAATAAACTCTATGTATTCTTAATATCATACAATTTATATATATATACTCTAATAAATTTAAATTATAATTTACAATAACATGTAACACTTGATTTGTTAATCGATATTAATTTGAGTTTTTTTTTCACACATTGATTTATTGATAACAGAAAGTGAAGTACCAGTAGTAAACCAAGAAATGAATAAAACACTATCATATTTGTTTTATTCAGTTTGATCATTGCTAATTTTTGATATATATATTGGCTAAATAACAATCTAATAACAAAATATTTATCTATACAAACACATGATAGACATAAATAAAGTTAAACTATTTCAACTAATTATTTTCCGAATTAGAACTACCAAAACCTAATTCATTACGTGCAGTAGTTTCAAATTCATCAACCTCTTCGATTTTTAACTCCTCGTATTTTTCAATTGTCATCTGTGCAACTGCATTGCTTGTGGTTATTTCGAATGGCTCATCACTGGTATTAAATATTTTTATCTTGAGTTCACTGGTATAATTAGAATCTATAAGTCCTTCGAAAACGAAAACACCTAAAAATCCTATGCTACTTCTCGTCTTAAGTACACCTCTATATCTATCTAGAATTTTAATTTGTTGTTTAGTATTCAAAATAATTGAAGAATTTGGCAACACAACACATTTATTTGGTGAAAATAAATCTACAGCAGTATCTCCTGTCCAATACATTCTAGGTAATTTAACAGTTTTATCAATTCTTTTAAGCAGGATACTTAATTCCTTATTATTATTATTATCGAGTGTGTTAATAAGGTGGGGGATGTGGGTTGTTTATATTTGTGAAACATAAATACATCATAAATTTTACTAAAAAAAAATTTGAAAAGATACAAGGAGATTGTAATTAACATAAAAAATGTTGTTAACTGGAGTATACAACGCATTAAAGAACCCAATATGTCTATAAATAAATTAAACATTTTACACATAACAAGTAATGTAAGGAATAATCATATCTATTTATTCAATAAATGTGTATTGTAACGTGATTAATCATATTCACTTATTGTTTGTATTAAAATATTATTATCTTTTATATGACTAACTATCATATTAGTGATCTTTTCCAAGATATCACGTAATAAATTATGTAATTGATCATTACTCTCTTTAATTAAATTCAATAAATTATTATTGGTTCTCACTGAACTTTTCTTTAGTTTTTGTATCAATAATTGTATTGTTTCAGATTGATCTCGTATAGTTATTGTTTGAATAATTAGAACATAACACGAAACCAAAAAAAACAGACTTGTAAAAAGACTGATAAAGAACCCAAATCCGGGTGAAGACCAAAAGAAACTTAGTGTAGACCTATTTGTTTCGCGAAATTGTTGGGATGTAATTGTTACATTAAAAGATGCTAGTGTATCTGTTTCTATCAACAAAAGTTTATAATTATTATTTGTTATTAGAGATTATTCATCAGATTGGCAAATTATTATTACCTTCTGAATTTTGACTTTCTGAAATCATTGGATAATTAATGGTATCTTCTGTATTTGACATTTTTTGTTGTATTCAAATTTTTTTTGTGAGGATTTACTTATCTGTGGCTTAAATATAATAAACAAATTATTGATCAGATCAATGATTCTTAAATTTCATAAAATTTAAAGTTTATTAAACATTTTATTATGTAATGCTCCAATCAAGCCATTGACATTAATCTATAATCAAAAGTAACTTATATGCAACGCAGCGCAGCTGCAGCGCCATAAGTCAAAACCTCATCAGCTTGCTGATGGTTTGCCTATAGCTACGCTAAGTGGAGCTTAGGCATATGTAATATAAAATATTTACAATACTTAAGATACTATTATTAGCATAGCTATAGGCAAACTATCTAAATCAAAATAAAATAAATATTTGAAAATCATAAAAAAAAAAAAATAACAGATGATGAATAGAAAATAATTTTCTCAGAATTCTCCCCAAAAAAGCTATAGAGAATACTGGCGGATTTCGGATACCGGTGTCGTGGGTTAATCAATGACTTGCGCCACTAAATAACCTAGCTCTGACGGCAAGTGCTCTTCTATTAACGACCACCTCGACACCTTGTGTACATGGCTTGGGTAAATATATTATTATTATTTTTCGAATGTTCTCTTTTTATCGCAAGTAAAAGCACTTATTGATTCTTTATTTTTCGCTTTTTGCTTAAATACAACTTTTAACTA